TATCAAAGACATCTTTGGTACAATATTGTTAGTCGTGCAAATGAGCATTTATTCTTTTAGAAATCACATGCTTAAACTAAACTATAAGGATGTCCTCATCGTAGTGTTAATTGGATATTTATCTTTGCTGGAGTTTGAGATAAATATGTTATATATAAATTGCGTATGTGTGTTAAAAGCATGTTTTAAGAGACTTAACGAAAATATGGCACATTTGCAAAAACTCGTAGTAAAACCATGTATACCTAGGCTGATCTGTCACATACAGAGAAATCAACTTTTTTTAATACAACTCAAAATTTTGCAAAAGCAGCATCTAATGATTAGTAACACAGTGCAAAAGTTGAATCTAATCTTCAGTCTGCAACTTTATGCTACTATAATCATGACATTTTCTGATATCATTTTTGAAGTTTATTATTACGTAGTACGTTGGCAAGATGGGATACACATCACTTTTGATTTGCACTTTCTTGATGTGTTTTCAATATCGGTAACGTTTTATATTCTAAAAATAATGCTAATTACATGGGCCTGTGAGACTGGTAAAAATCAGGCTCAAGAGATCGGCACCATCATTCATGATGTACTAAATAGCACTAGCAACGAGCAAATTAAGAACGAGGTAATAAGAAGTTATATTTAATTATCTATACGTATATCCATTTTTTGCTAAATATCAAATGTACGTTAAAGTAATATTTAAAAACATCATAATTGTGATGGTTATATAATAACATGGTTATATTCTTTAATTCTACGTTTTTTTTCTTGTATTTAATTGAAATCTAATATTGCAGTTGCAACTGTTTTCTTTACAAATACTACATTGCAAAAATACATTTTCGATAAAAGGTCTCACTGTAGATGCGACGTTTCTCGTAACAGTATGTAACCGATTATTTACTTTAATTAAAAGATATATATCGTTCACATGTATATTTTAAATTATTGATTGCAGTTTATGGGTAACATCATGACGTACCTGTTAATTTTAATACAATTTTTGATCGCATCACATTCTTGCGATGGAAATAATACTACAAATAATACATTTATATAAAATAAGATATATAATAAGAAAAAATAGTTTTTTTGTACTTATGTGTGTATACATATTTATAATCACTCGTATATAAATATATGTGAGTATAAATGCGCGTAAAAATAAAACCTTTTATTGTACCTATATTAATACTAAATTGAAGATAAATCGCTACTGTGTTATTGTATTTGTGAAACATAAAAAGAAACTGTCATCCTGCATTAATATGTAATCTATAAATTATGAAACTAATTAAGAATTTTGTTATCGAAAATGCATCGATTAATTTTAATCTGGAGATATAATTCTATATAATATATAATGGGGCATTAATATTGCATTCTTATCAGTTTATTAATAGTTTATTTGTCCTCTTTATGGATTCCATATAAACGTCTTTTAGAGCATATGTAATGCAACTTGATTGTTTTTAAACACACAGTATTATAAGAAAATAAATTAAGTTTCATTCGTTACATTCTCATAAATTGGAGAAAATAACTTATATTTAACTGTATAATACTGTAAAATAAGTATGATTTTAATCAACATAAAAGTATCAATTAACATTGTTACATTACGTTATGTGATAATAAAATAACACAAATTTAAGTTAAAATTTATGTTATTTTTTTTTCTTATTTCAATACTGTAACTCCGAAACCGTTCAAAATCGGAAATAAGTTTATTAGAAATTTTCGACTTGATTTCATGTGCCAAAGTAGCAACTTGGTACTAGGTATGCAGAATCCTGTATGTACTTGTAAATATTATATAGAATGTGGAAAATAAAATTAATTGTTATTAGAATCATTATTAACGAAAATAATAATTCAAAAGCTATTCGATCTATGTGCATTCGTTTTTTGTATGTGTTAAAGTTGAATATATTACAACAACTACATAATCATATTATACTTTACATTGCAGGGATAATAAATGACGACAGAAAAATGGTACCATTATTTACTTCAAAACTAAATCATCGCTGAGAAATTTTACTCTATAGGTACAGCAATTCTTCGCTGTTTTAAAGCAAGGGTTGTGATAAATGCCATTTTTGGCATCCCTCACAAATTCAAACAAAACTAAGGGGAAAATATACTTCCATATCGGCCTCAATTATCAACTACCCTATAAATCGTTCAAATTCCAAATATTGTGATTCATAAAAGATGAGGTTCAGAATCATATTCTTCTAAGAAATTAGGAAGCTAATATGAATTTGGGGGGGGGGGGATGATCACTCTATTGCAATTTCTTCTTTAAGATTACTAAATCAGCAACAAAAAACACGTTAGAATCTATTATCACTTCTAATCCTGCTTAAATGTAGTAAAAATCATTCTATTATATAATGACAGAAAGATAATAAGCGAATAAAGGACAATAGCAAGATAATATAACATAATTAATACTATAGAAAAATGCCTATTACGTTGAAGCTGGATCGTCATTGCTTTAAATAATTCAATTTTAAATTACTAATATAAACTATATATATGTACTTGCATATTTACCATATTGTAGTCTTTTAGAATTGCGCGCCGAATTGTTTTTTCGGACTATAAAGCAATTAAAACTATTCTAGTTATCGCGAATTAAATTGACAAGCAATTTAATAATTTGATGCTACCATCAAGAAAAACAATTCTGCGCGCAGTTCTAAAAGACTACAATATGGTATATATGTAAGTACATATATAGTGTATACTAGTAATTCAAGATTGAATTATTTAAAGCAATGAAGATCTAGCTTCGACCGTAATAGGCGTTTTTCTAGTATTGATTGTGTTTCTCAGATATGCGGTCCAAAATAAAGATTCATATATTGTTAATATAACAAATCGAAAAAGTTTGCAGACAATTTTAACAATTTGTCATGATAAAAATTCATAATTTATACTACACGGTTGATTATTACATTGATGTTAATTGTGATTATCATGCCTTGACACCACTTGACTCGAAATTAGAAGTATGCGATGTTTTTTTGATCAATAAACTGAAAAAGGTATTCTTGAATCATGATACGCGTTCACTTAATAAATTCGAATTAATTTGTTGTATTCAGAGCAAGAGAAAGAAAGAAAGAGAGAAAATAAGAAATCAAAAAGTCATCAATATGACAAAAGTTTTAGAATTACTGATCATACAAATGTCCTATAATGGCACTTTCTATTTTTTATATGTGTACACATAATTCATGAGTCACAATTTCAAACAATATTTTATTGCATAAACACAACCTCTAGAAATCAATGCTTTAAACAGTCTAGCTGGATTTTAAGTGCTTGTAAGATTCTGTGTGAATTTATATCCTACGTATGTAGTCCCTTAAAATGCGGGCCGAAATGATTTTTGGATCTTGAACGAAATCTCTACAAAACTACCGTAGTAACATCACGAGTTAAATTGACTAGCAATTTAACAATTTGATGCTCTTTCGCATCGTAGAGCGATCTTAATAATGCATTAAAATATGTAAGTAATTAATTCTCTTATTGCGAGAAATATGACCACGGCCGGGAATCGAACCTGAATCTCTTGCATTCTGTGCGAGCGTCCTAAGCCTTTAAACTATCGAGACCTTAGTAATATTCTTCGTAATAATTGGCATTTGAATAATTGACATATACTTTTTGTATAAATATCGCAAGAGTGAGAAATTACGATCGAAGAACGCCATGGTTACTTCCTTACTAACAAAGGATTTTTCAGCTTTGTCTCTTTGCTACACGTAGCATTTGCTGGCAGTTATAAGTTAAAACTCACTGAGTGTATATAAAATGAAAAATCCACGTCACAGTTAATATATATAAGCATTGCAGAGAGAGAGAGAGAGAGAGAGAGAGAGAGAGAGAGAGAGAGAGAGACGGACCTAAATATTAAAATTATTAACCAAGAAGCTATTATATCCGTGTTAATTCTAATAATTCAGTATACTAATTGAATGTATTGACTGATATTTAAGATATAGGTGTGATACAGACTGTTACACTTCAAGAATTTTTACTAATTGTGTTTAGTTCAAAAATTCAAAAGGAAAATGAAAAAAAGGTGGCAGCTATTTCACGCCACGGATTTTCAATCCTTAATGTATCCTTGCTTCTTCTATTGTGGAATTCTTGGAATATTTCCGTACAAGATCAATACTTCAAATTTCGAGATTTCAAAACCACGCTATATCCTATCGATTGTGATTATTTGCGTTTCCTTCGTTTTTTGCCTGATGATCAATCACGGTATTATTATTTCTAAAACAATTACCGTTGGAAACATAGTTAGAAACTTTGAGGCTGTCTGTTTCTTTACGTTCAATGGTTTGATAATGATACTTACGCATATTTTAAGTAATCCACGAATGCGCTTACTACAGAAAATTTGGGAAATCTCTTCAAAAATTTTACCGTCAAAAACATATCTAAAGTTATCCAGATTGATCCACACCAAGGACGTCTTGAGTGTCATCTTGATAGCTGTGCAAGAATACATATATTTCTCTAAATTGCGACTATTTGAAAAAAATAATTCTGTTGAAAGATGCCTAATTGTAGCATTTACAATATATTTGTTTCAGCTTGAATTTCACATGAATATGCTGTATGTAAATTGTATTTGTGTATTAAAAGCCTGTTCCAAAAAAATCAACGATGATCTGAATTGTATGCAAAAATTCATGAGAAACGACAAGAAATCATTTATTCCTAGTTTAATTTACTCAACGCAGAGGAATCAAATTTTTGTAATAGAACTGAAAACTTTGATGAAACAGCATCTAATGATTAATGAAACTGTGCAACTGCTAAATATAATCTTCAGCTTGCAACTTCTTGCAACTGTAATCGTGACCTTTGTTGAAATTACTTGTGAACTATATGATTTCATAGTGCACTGGCAAGGCGAGGTAATCATTGCTTTTGATCACCATCTTCTTGATGTGTTTTTAACAGCCATGGTGCATTACGTTATGAAAATAATACCAATTGTATGGGCCTGCGAGACCGGCAAGAATCAAGCCCGAGAGATCAGCACTACTATTTATGACGTACTTAATAGTACAAGTGATAAGCAAATCAAGGGCGAGGTAATTTTTTTGAATATACTATTATGTATCCAAAACGATTTTTTAACTATTTGTTCTACTAAAATTATATTTGCTAATATCATTTTTTTTTTCTCGCATTTAATTGTTTTTGCGGCTTGACGTTGCAGTTGCAACTATTTTCTTTGCAAATACTGCATTGCAAAAATACATTTTTGACAAAAGGTCTCGCTATGGACGCGACGCTTCTCGCAGTAGTAAGTAATCAATTTGTTGCTTTAAGTAATAGGAGATGTATTGTTTATATTTTAAAGTATTGCTTTTAGATGGTGGGTGGCATCACGACATACATGTTAATTTTTACACAATTTCTAATCGCGGCACATTCTTGTGATGAAAAATCTGGAATTAGTGTTACAAATAATTCAGTTATATAAAATGAGATACATAATAAAAAAGGGACTTGTTTGTATTTACATAGAATCGTATAGGGTAAACTCGGGTATGATGGCCATAGTTTCTTAAAATGCAAAAAACATACATTTATTCTTGTTATTTTTTAACAATATTTGGTGTATTGCTTTCACTGAAGCTTAAAGTAACAAATACTATCGAAATTAAAGAGAAAATACTTAATAGAACTTTAATTTTATCAAAATATTACGAAGTATGCATTGCCCATCTTATCTGATTTTAATGGAAAAGATGGCCATGATTTTAAGAAAGATAGCCATAGTATTTATAAATAAATAGTGAAAATAAAAGTATTAATTATAGGTCACATTGCAATTTACGTACCTTTATTGTGTATGTAATGTTGATTATGGCAGCTTAACTGTAATTTATTAAACATTAAATTTATATCCTACGTAAATATTTATTATCTTTAAGAATGACTATAAAAATGCACTATTTATCAATTGTTGGAGAAATTATGGCCTATAGCCATCTTTTCCGTATGGCCATAATACCCTAGTTTACCCTATACACATATGCGTACATATAATATTTAAATAAAACGTTCTACTATATTTATTAAGTTAATATTGAGTTAATATTGAGTTAAATATAAATCCATATTGTATCTTCTGAGTTTTGCTGTAGTATAAAGAGGAATTGACTTGTAACATGTTGTTATTGATTACAACAAACATATAGCTCAAAAGATCAACATCACTATTTACGACGTACTTAATAGCACCAGGAACAAACAAAATAAAAATGATGTAATAAAACACAGTCTTAATTAAATAAATTTGAATATCCACGCTTAATTAATTAAATTTAATACAAATATTGGAAAAGAGCTTAGAGCAATAGCTAGGTGTTAATTGCTATATATTAAAATATTGAAGATACAAAACAAACATTTCAACCTTATCTTATGTCATTTTCAATGTTTGATTAAAAGTAAAAATGTTAAATGTTTGTTTTGTATTTTTAATATTTTATTAAAATATACCAACAACTAGCTATTGCTCTAAGCCGTTTTCTAATATAGTTTTAATTAAATTTTTCTGGAAATGCTAACATAATCTTTTTATTATTAAATCTACTTAAAATTTTACTTTTCAAATTTGTTTTTTTTCTTTGCATTATTTTGGAATTTGACGTTGCAGCTGTAGTTGTTTTCTTTACAAATTGTGAATCCTGAAAATATATTTTCAACGATAGCTTTCACTGTGAATGCATCGCTTCTCACGGCAGTGATAAGTATATATAATCAATTATTTATTTTAATTAATAAAACGTACATTGTTTCTACTTTTTACTATTGTTTTCAGGTGGGCAGCATCATAAGGTATATGATAATTATTATACAATTATGCCAATGTCATGTCCGAGTGGACAACTATGTAGTCACGTGTCTTCGTGCCTGCCTTACCAACAGAGTTGCCAGAATAAAGTAAAAAGTGTACAGATGTAATTTAAATATTTTACGATAATATTTTTGAATAAACGTTGTCTTGCATAATATGTAATTTATAAAGTATGACAAATTTGACCAAAATTCCATTATTGAAAATATTTTTTAATGTAGACAAGATTAATTCTAATTAGATTAATCATTATAATAGTAACTATGCAGAATTCTGTATGTAAATATTATTATATAAAATATGGAAAATAAAATTAATTATTAGTAGTAATTATTAACCGTGATATTTTAATTTAAAAACTATTCGATCTATGTGCACTTCTTTTTTTATATGTGCAAAAGTTGATTTTATTACAACAATTAAACATAATCATATTGTGCAATACGTCGCAAGGATAATAAATGGCGACAGAAAAACGTTATCAGTATTTACTTCAAAACTAAATAATCACTGAGACATTTCTTGTTACTTTATAGATACAGAAATTCTTTGCTGTTTCAAAGGAGTGATTACGATAAATGCCATTTTTGATATCCCCATAAATTCAAACACAAATCTAAGGATAAAATATATACCTCCATATCAATTGCCAAATTGAGGCCAAATATCCCTATAAATCATTCAAATTTAAAATACAGTGATTTATAAGAGACGAGGTTCAGAATCAGATTTTCTGGGGAATTATGAAGCTGCAATGATATAAATTTAGGGAAGGGGGACAAAAATAATCCTTATCGCAATCCCTTCTTCAAGTCTATTAATCTTCTGAGGACCGGCATGTTTTTGATCAACTTTTTTATTTTAAGGGCTAGAACTTTGTTATCAATGTCATGGGGTTAAGTAGTAAAAAAGATGGTACCAATGTCGAATTCCTGAAGGGGTCTCCGGTCCTACAGATTAAGTATATACATCGACAACAAACCATACATGTTAGAATCTATTAACATTACTAATCCTGCTTGAATGTAGCAAAAATCGCATTATTATAACGTCGGAAAGATAATAAGCGAATATAAAGTACAATAGCAATATAATATAACAACATAGGTTAAAAAAGTTTGCAGACGATTTTAACAATTTGTCATGATAAAAATTCAAAATTCATACGGTTGATTAATAGTAAAATTAATTATGATTATTATGTCTTGACATCACTTGACACGAAATTAAAAGTGCGCGATATTTTTTTAACCAAAAAATCGAAAAATATTATAAATCCTGATATGCGTGCACTTAATAAATTCGAATTAATTTTTTGTTTACAGAACAAGAGAAAGAGAGAAAGACAGAAAATAAGAAACCAAAAAGTCATTAATGTGATAAAAGTTTTAGAATTACTGTTCATACAAATGTTACACAATGTATACTGTACACTATTCTATTTTGTATATGAACACATAATTTATGAGTCACAATTTCACGCAATATTTTGTGTATAAATACAAACTTCAGAAATCAATGCCTTAAACGGTCTATCTGGATAAGTGCTTGTATAATTCTGCGTGAATTTATATCCTACGTACATGTGGTCCTATGAAACGCGAGCCGAAATGATTTTTCGGTCTTAAAACGCAAACTCTACTAAACAACAGCAACAATATCACGAGTTAAATTGACTAGCAATTTAACAATTTGATGCTTCTTCGCATCTTAGAGCGAAGAAGCATCAAATATCTTAATAATGCTGAATGACATTTTAAAATCTGTAAATAATTAAATCTTATTGTGAAAAATTTTACCTCGGGAGCTGGGAATCGAACTCGGATCTGTTGCGAGCGTCCAAGTCTTTACATTATCGAGACCTTAATAATATTCTTCACAATAATTTGCATATGAATAATTGACATATACTTGTTGCATAAATATCGCGAGAGTGAGAAATGACGATCGAAGAATGCCATGGTTACTTCCTTACTAACAAAGGTTTTTTCAGCTTTGCCTCTTTGCTACACATAGCATTTCCTGGCAGTTTTAAGTTAAAACTCACCGAACTTATATAAAATGAAAAATCCACATCATAGTTAATACAGGCATTGCTGAGAGAGAGAGAGAGAGAGAGAGAGAGAGAGAGAGAAAGAGACAGACGAATATAAATACTACACTTAACCAAAAAGCTAATATATCCGTGTTAATTCTAATAATTCAGTGTATCGTCTCAATGAATTGACCAATATTTAAGATATAAATTGTGATACAGAGACGGTAATTCTCCTAAAATTTTTTACTAATTAAGTGTGAAAATTCAAGGAAAAATGAAGAAAAAATGGCAGTTGTTGCACGCCACGGATTTTAAATCCTTAATGTACCCTTGCTTCTTTAATTGTGGTATTCTTGGAATATTTCCATACAAGATCAATGCTTCGAATTTTGAGATTTCTAAACCACGTTATATTTCGTCGATCGTGATTATTAGCGTTTCCTTCGTTTCATGCCTGCTGGTCAATTACGGATTTATTATTTCTAAAATAATTACTCTTGGAAGCATAGTTAGAAACTTTGAGGCTGTCTGTTTCTTTACGTTCAATGGTTTGATAATGATACTCACGCACATCTTAAGTAATCCACGAATGCGCTTACTACAGAAAATTTGGGAAATCTCTTCAAAACTTTTACCATCAGAAACCTATCGGAAGTTATCCAGATTGATCCATACCAAGGACATCTTGAGTGTCATCTTGTTAGGCGTGCAAGAATACGTGTATTTCTCTAAAATGCGATTATTTGAAACAAACCATTGGATTGTCAGATGCCTAATCACAGCATTTTTAGTATATTTACTTCAGCTGGAGTTTCATATGAATATGCTGTATGTAAATTGTGTTTGTGTATTAAAAGCCTGTTTCAAAAAAATCGACGACGATCTGAATTACATGCAAAGACTCATGACAAACGACATGAAATCATCTGTTCCTAGTTTAATTAGCTCAACGCAGAGAAATCAAATTTTTTTAATAGAACTCAAAACTTTGATGAGACAGCATCTAATGATTAACGAAACTGTGCAGCTGTTAAACATAATCTTTAGCTTGCAACTTCTTGCAACTGTAACCGTTACCTTTGCTCAAATTACTGCTGGACTATATGATTACATAGTGCACTGGCAAGGCGAGATAATAATTACATTTGATCGGCATCTTCTTGACGCGATTTTGACAACCATGGTGCACTATGTTATGAAAATAATGCTAATTGTATGGGCCTGCGAAACCGGCAAGAATCAAGCCCGAGAGATCGGCACTACTATTTGCGACGTACTTAATACTACAAGAGATAAGCATATCAAAGCCGAGGTAATTTTTTTGAGTATATATTGTTTATTGAAACAATTTTTTAACTATTCAATCTACTAAAATTATGTTTACTAATACCATCTCTTTCGTTTACTAATACCCCATTTTTTTCGTTCTTGCTTTTCATTGTTATGTGATTTGACGTTGCAGTTGCAATTATTTTCTTTGCAAATATTGCATTGCAAAAATACATTTTTGACAAAAGGTCTCGCTATGGACGCGACACTTCTCGCAGCTGTAAGTAATCAATTTGTTGCTTTAATTAATAACAGATATATTATTTATATTTTAAATTATTGTTTTTAGATGGTGGGTGGCATCACGACATATATGTTAATTTTGATACAATTTTTAATCGCGGGACATTCTTGTGATGAAAGATCTGTAACTAGTATTACAAATAATTCAGTTATATAAAATGAGATATATAATAAGAAAGAGACCTTTTTATATTTACATAGAATCGTATATATATATATATATATGCATACGCATATATTTAAATAATATGTTCTACTATATCTATGTTAATCCTGACTAATGAGTTAAATATAAATCGATATAGCACTTGCTGAGGTAAGCTGAAATATAAAGAGGTATTGTTACTTGCAGTAACATGTATAGTTTATGGATTACAACAAACATGTAACTCAAAAGATCAGCACCACTATTCACGACTTATTTAATAGCATCAGCGACGACCAAATTAAACATGACATAATAAAAACACATTTTTATTTAAATTTTTTTTAAATGCTAACATAATTTTTTAAATATTAAATCTACTTAATTAAAACTGTACTTTTTAATTTTGTGTTTTTTTTTGCATTATTTTGCGATTTGATGTTGCAGTTGCAATTGTTTTCTATACAAATTATGCATCGCAAAAATATATTTTTGCGTAGAAAATCGTGCGATATACAGAAAATAATGAAATTTGGAAATGAGTTTTATGTAAATATATTTCGAAAATTATATGAGACCATCGATTAATTTATATGGAAAAGTTGTTTAGTACCCTCGCCTGTATAATATATATCAATGTCAAGGTCATCAGAAGAGGTGTCCCCTAATGAAAAGGAATACCTTAGGTATACAATTTTTGATCACGTCACATTCCTGTGATGAAAAATCTAAGCTAGACTACGTGAGTATTATTTAACTGGCTACGTCAGATTATTTAAAAAAAAATACAAAATAAAACCTTTTTTTATACTTATATAGAGATGATTTTATGATATTTATTTAGAATCGTTTGTATACATATATGTACCTACATCTGTTCAATAAGAGCGTGACAGACATAACTTTCGACATATGTACATATATGTATGTCTCTGTAGACCAACAGATCAATAATATAAGTTCATATCGCTTTTTGAACTTAATAAACGCCTTTTTCCAGCCTTCCTCGAGATTTCTGCGAGATTTCCTGACATTTCGGATATATGCAAAGAGAAACAACTTCTAATTTTTTAGCGTACGCGGCACTCATCATTAAAAATATATCGTTTTTTAGAAAAAACCAAATACCTGCTAAATGATTCTCTGTATAATACGTCTTAGAGGAAGATCTCTTTTATTTACGCGTTCAAAAATTGATTTTGACGTAAAGACTTCTAAATAAAAGTTTACCAGATCACGCTCTTATAATTAAATTAACTGTGTCGTAAAATTGGTAGAAAATATATCTCCAAGAAATCGATAATATTTGACTTTATTAATACAGAAGCACCGTAGTATCGATTTAGTTTATAGTACAGATGTAATTTTTTATATTTTATAATAAATGTTATTCAATAAATGTCACTCTACATAATATGTAATTCATAAAATATGACACATCTGAAAAAATTCCATTATGGAAAATATTTTTTTAATGTAGATATATAATAAGATTAATTCTAATTATTATAATAGCATTGTTATTGCATTCTCCTCAATATATTAACACAATTATTTTATTCACCTTGTACTTTTCATATTACTGATCATATTCTTCAAAACATAAATTTTCAAATATACAATATTTTTAAAAAATTAAATTTAACTTATTACATTTTAATAAATTGCCCAAATTAATTTATAATTACGTTTAATTGTACAATAAGCGCAAAATAAGTAAAGATTATACTAAAAGATATAAAAAGCTAACAATATTAAATAACCAAATTATAGTACAAAAATATACTTTAAAATTATTTATAATGTATGTATTGTATACAATGTGGAAAATAAAATTAATCGTTATTGTAATTATGATTAATGGATCTAGTAATTTAAATACTATTTGATTTACGCAAATATTGTGTACTTTCTGCATTGTGTATGTATACAAAGATTGATATATTACTGACGTACTGAAACACACAATTACATATAATTATATACATATAATTATATAACGCTATATCTTAAGGGTGATAAACGACGACTGAAGAATTTATTATTTACCTCAAAACTAACGAATAATCCCTGAGATGTCTTCTTACTCTATATCCTATTAATTCATCGTTATGTGTTATTACAATACCTTCAAGAGCTATTGATTCATACGGATATATATTACATATTTTGATTTTAAATTATTGTATGTTTAATTATTGCTGAAGAAGGATCTGTGGTTTCGAAATGTTAATTCTATTTTTCTTGATTTATAATAAATAGGATCGGGTATTATGAGCACTATAGGTAATATGAGCACCCTTTACATTTCTATAACGCCGATCGAAGAACGCTATGGTTACTTCACTACTAACAAATGGTTTCTTCAGTTTTGTCTCTCTGCTGTACGCAACACGTTTGCAGTTTTTAATTGAAACTCATCGAGTCTAGATAATACGTGGATCAGTTTACACATCTATTACGAACAAATTAATTTGAAGATTACATTTAAAATAAAAACTTTCGCAATTTTATCTATATTAATTCTGAAGTACACTGATAAATAACATTAGACTGTAGACTATAATAGATTGTTATTTTCCCAAGAATTTGTGCTAATCGTGTTCAATTCGATAATTCAAAGGTGTAACAAGGAAACAAAATGTGGAAACGATGTCGACTGTTCCACGCCACGGACTTTCAATCTTTAATGTATCCCTGTTTCACTTTTTGCCGTATTCTCGGAATATTTCCGTACAAAATCAATGCTTCGACTTTTGAGATTTCAAAACGGTACTTCACTCTGTTGACCATCATTATCTGCGCTTGCGGCATTTGTGATCTACTAATCATTCATGATTGTATTTCTAAATCTAATCTAACAACTGAAACTCTTAAATTTGTCTGTTACTACGCGTGCAATGGTTTCGTGATGATCATCACACACACCTTAAGCGGCCCGCGAATGCGCCTGTTACAGACTATTTTGAAAATATCTTCGATATTACCCACAGAATCTTATCAAAAGTTATCCAAATTAATTCATATCAAGGATATCTTTGGTATTATATTGTCGGTCATGCAAATAAGCATATATTTTTTTAGAAATCACATGCTTAAATTAAACTATAAGGATGTCCTCATCGTAGTATTCATTGGATATTTAACTGTGCTGGAGTTTGAGATTAATATGTTATATATAAATTGCGTATGTGTGTTAAAAGCATGTTTTAAGAGACTTAACGAAAATATAGCACATTTGCAAAAACTCGTAGTAAAACCGTATGTACCTAGGCTGATCTGTCACATACAGAGAAATCAACTTTTTTTAATACAACTTAAAATTTTGCAAAAGCAGCATCTGATAATTAGTAACACAGTGCAAAAGTTAAATCTAATCTTCAGTCTGCAACTTCATGCTATTATACTCATGACCTCTTCCGGAATCATTTTTGAAGTTTATTATCATGCAGTGCGTTGGCAAAATGGAATACACATTACTTTTGATATGCACTTTCTTGATGTTTTAATGTCGATAACGTTTTATGTTCTAAAAATAATCGTAACTATGTGGGCCTGTGAGACTGCCAAGAACCAGGCTCAAGAAATCAACACAATTATTCATGATGTACTGAATAGCACCAGCAACGCCCAAATTAAGAACGAGGTAATAAAAAGTCAATGTATGTATATATTTTTTTTTCTAAAAATCTACTATACGTTAAAGTAATTTTTTTAAACATTTAATTTATTAAGATATGATTATATTTTTCAGTTCTACATTTTCCTTTTTGTATTTAATTATTGACATCTAAAAAATATTGCAGTTGCAGCTATTTTCTTTACAAATACTACATTGTAAAAATACATTTTTAACAAAAGGTCTCACTGTAGATGCAACGCTTCTTGCAACAGTAAGTAACCAATTATTTATTTTAATTAAAAATCGTATATTGTTCATATGTATATATTTTATGTTACTGATTGCAGATGGTGGGTGGCATCATGACGTACATATTAATTTTGATACAATTTTTGATCGCATCACATTCTTGCGATGGAACTAATATTACAAATAATTCGATTATATAAAATAAAATACATAATAAAAAAAGGTAGATAGTTTTTTTTATATTTATGTATAATGTATACATATTTATAATCATTCGTATATGATTATATGCGAGTATAAATGCGCGTAGAAATAAAATCTTGTATGCCTAAGGTAACTCCGGCAAATACGCCGCGCTGGGATTTACGCCGCAGAAGTCAGAAAAAATAGAAGGAGTGGAGGTAATTTTCTCGCAACTATTCTGTTACATGCCTTTATATGTTTTATTAGTGTTGTGTTAAGATTTCAGCTTCTTACTGTTAATATTAATGAAATTATTGTGAGTTGAATGGATTTGTCACTGTAATAAGTAACGCCATCATAAATTATAATTTATATAAAATGATTACTGTAGAGCGTGTAAAAGACTTAGTGTATTATTTCATGATATATAAGTGTAGTGGAATAGTAAAGCATGTTGTGCAGCAAAATACAAGTGCTTTGTTTTCATATTCTTTGTTTAGTTTGTTGTCTTGTATATTCCACCTGTTTGGGATATACGGCATTTTTAGCGAACGGGATTTATGCCCAAAGCATACAAAGTGCGCAAATTGAATTCAATGCACTAAATACAATAAACGCATTATATGAAATATATACCTCATGTCATAACATTTGTAATATACGTAGGAAGATTATAATTATTATTTATTACTTCATATACATATTTACCATCTTTAATAAAACTTTATAAACACATTTTATAAGTTATTATGTCATTATACGTCTTATTTATATGCATTATTTGTAAATTTGTCATAAGCCATACCCCTCCCCCTATGAGTAGCTATATATCCCACCCCCATGGGATATGAAAAAAATGCAAGGGTTTCAAAAAGTTTATTTTTTAATATGAAAAATAAATATTTCGGATTTCTAATATTTTTTTCATAGTAGTAGACAATACAAAGTTTTTACTGAT